TGGTGGAGGCGCGTCTGGCGCGGGCCCCTGCGGGGATTTGGGATCAGCGCCGAGGTGCGTGGGGCCCGTTATGCCCTGACTTCGGGGCTGCCCCTAAGGGGGGTGGGACGGACCCCTCCGACGCGCGGGGATGGAGGGCCGGGCTCGCCGAGAGGACCCCGTACACCGGTTGGGGGGTGACTGGTTATGGGTTTAACAAACCGGAAAACCAGCTTCGGGCGCTCGCAGCTCGAGGGAATCTCCCTGCAAAGTGCAGTGGTGACGGACTTGCCCGCAGGCTCCGGAGCGAGCGGAGGGAAGTTGGCATTCTTGTTCAAGGAGCGACTTCTCAGTCAGCGATGGAGAGCTCTAAAATAATTGTGTTTCGGGATTTAAAAAAAAAAAAAAAAAGTTAACGATTGGGGTTGAGGCAGTGGTGAGGAACAAAAGAAGAGGTTTGAATGGTCCCAGGGGTGAAAGCGTATTTTTTGTGCTGACCGTGGAAGTCATCCCGAGCGCAGGCCGCTGCCCGGGGAGCGCTGGAGCCGCTGCTTCATTAGCAGTTCTTCCCCCGTCTGTGGAAAACGGAGCTTCTGGAAACAGTGCCTTGCTGGGGACTTTGCCTCCCGCAAGGTGCTGGCCCTTGGCGCTGATTGCCGGAGGCGCAGTGAGGTGGGCGCCGGTCTCTGAAGCGCCGCCGGGGTTGGGCTCAGTTCTGTGGGAGAGGATTTCCAGGGAGTGGGTCTAGGTTGTTTAGGGAAGTGAAAGCCGGGGTGCGCCCGTCGAGTCCTAATTGACTTCGATACTTTGTTTCCCTTCCCTCCTTCAGGATCCACTGTTTCAATGGTGCAGCTCTCTTCATCGCCCTGTGGCCACCAGGCGCCCTCAGGCCATTCAGAGGCAGGAAGAGGGGGCGCTATGAAGGCAGCCAGGCCCCAGGTGAACCACAGCCATGGGGGAAGCCAGCGGGCCCCGAGCCCCCTGCAGTCCCCTCTCCGATCCGCTGCCGTTCCCTCTCAGGCCTATGAGACCTACATTGAGAATGGACTCATATGCCTTAAACACAAAATTAGAAACATCGAGAAAAAGAAGGTAACTATTCTTCTTCTTCTCCCAGCCCAGGTATTTGCCCCATTTTAAATAAGGGTTAGGGAACTGACATTTTGGCTTTCCATCAGGGCTCATGGATTACTTCTTAAAGTTTTGACTAGCCTTGGGATTTAGCTGGCTGAAAACGAAAACATACAAGCAGGCTAAATATGGGGCATAGTAAACATTTTCTGTTTGATTGGTCAGCGTAACTGAATAAAAATATTCTTCATGGTAAAATTATGCGTGCTAAATCCTGGAAGAGCTAGCTACTTTAAGTCAGATTAATCCCTTCAGTGTAGTATTAATGTTTCCTTTCATAGAGTGCCTGATTTTATTTTTTTTTAGCTCGTTTCCCTTGTGACTTTCTGCAGTAGTTGATATTGCAGCATAGATGCTGCAGTCATTGGAAGCGTTAATGATGGTAGGGCCAGGAAATGCTTTAGCACTGATTTTTGTGTTGCTAGGTGCTCGTTTGAGATTGGTAGGTGAAAAGCACTGTAGAGAGCCTTGTACAGGGATTCAGGAGATGCTGATGTGCAGATCCACATCATCCCTCATTTCCTGAGTCATGTGGCCTGAGGAACAGTGCTGCGCGTTGGTGTGTGGTGTCATGATTCTCTTTGCTTGTGAGAATAAGGCGAGTCATTAACTCTCCGACCTAGGAACTCTTAAATATTTTTATGCCAAGACCTTGCTTGTAATGGAGGAGTGTGAAAAGATTTTTTAAGGAGTCTGATTGACTCTGTTTCTTTTCCTTTTAAAAATGTTTTTATTTTAAAAAATATACCCAGGGAGGTCATGAAGAAGGGCCAGTTACTAGTAGCTTCTCTGTAGCCCTCGCTCTCATCGGTTGTCCTTTGAACGCATACACGGTGTGATAAGGTGAGTGTGCCTGGGTCAGCACAAATTCCCCGCCACTGTGGGAAACTAGTCAGAGCAGGATCTATTCAAAACAGGATCTGTTGATGGAGACTCATTACTGTCTTCTCCCAGGTGGAGGAACGATGTATGTCGGTCTACTTAAACTCTGGCTTAATTATATTACCTCTTGGGATACCTGACAGTTCCAAAGCTTTTGTTTCAGGCTTCTGGGAAAGCATTTTAAAGCTAAAAAGCCAAATGGGAGGAGCCTGAACATTGCTTTCAGAATACATTGTGGGTCCTGTAATTTTTATGGGCACAATAAATGCGATTTATTTGGCACTTGTTTACTGAAGTATAAAATTTAATTTAAAAAATAGCTTCAGTTTGAGGCTACTATAATGCTAGAAAAGAAGTCTTTTACATTTCTGTACTTCCATTAGGAAGCCTCCTATCTGACAAATGCCACATAATTCAACAGGTGACTAGTGGTTTAAGCATGAGCTTCAAGCAGGGTTTCTCAGCCTCAGTACTATTGACTTTTGTGGCTGAATAATTCTTTGTTGTGTGGGGCCATCCTGTGCATTGCAGGATGGTCAGCAACATCGCTGGTCTCTACCCACAAGATTCCAGTAGCACGCTGCACCTTTCTGCCATCCCCCAAGTTGTGATACTCCTGGGGGACAAGATTGCCCTGATTGAGCAGCACTCAGTTAAGGGCATATAATTGACTAGTTAAGCCTGTAGTCTAAATATATACAGAGGCTATTAAAAGGTTTTACTAAGCTTTGTAATTCCAGACTAATGTTCATTGTGTGATCCCCCCCCCCCACTGGAACTCAGTTGCTGCCCCCTTTGTAGTAAAATGATACTGTTGCAGATTGATAGCTTACTTCAGGAACTTTGTTTTCATAAGAAACAAAGTCTAGTATTTATTTTATTTGCTTGAGAGTTTTATATTAGACTATACTAGATACAAGTTTCTCTTTTGTAGCTCAAATTGGAAGATTACAAGGATCGCCTGAAAAATGGAGAGCAACTTAATCAAGACCAATTAGTAAGTGACTTTATGATTCTTTGGTCAGACTTGCTGGTTTCCTTTTCTTGATAAAACTGTAGATAGGCTTGATGAGACCAAAAATTTGATAGGCCAAAAAAGAAGAGTGATAGCTGGCTTTTTGTTTTTGAACCTTACTATAAATATTAGACTGTAACTTTAAAAAATATTGTTTAACTTGTCCATGGTATACCTGGTCATTGCAAATTTTATCTAATTTGGTGGCGGAGAGTTTTTGCAGTATGGAAATAAAAAATAAATGTTTCATCCATGTTTGCCATTTTGACTTGATGGCATCTCCTAGCTGGGAAAGGACAAATGATCTTTTTCAATGAAGATTTTTGGTTGTGGATTACAGATGCTGGTATTCAAGGGCTTCTCCCTGGCCACACTGACTCTGTTTCACTGGCTTTGCATTTTGTGATGTAGTAAATTATAATTTTGCTGAGGCACAGATTTGAATTGTGTGAGCTCTGAGAGTGATGTACTCACATGAAGTGCAGAATGATGATAAAGTGTGATGAGGAATCTAACCTAGTCTGGAGAGTTGAGGACAGCTTCTTAGAAAAAGAAGTGCTTTAGTTAAGACCTAAAAATTGAGTAGGACTTAGCCAGTTAAAGTGGGGAAAGAGGAAGAGCAGGCTAGGCAGATGCTAATGTGTAAAGGCCCTGAGGAGGAAAATAATATTTTTACAAAGACCCTTTCTAAGAGACTGGAAAGAAGGCCAGTTTGGATGGAGTAATGAACCTGGATGGGGAAGAACACTATGCAGATCCTTCTATGCCACTTAAAGACTGCTTTCCCTAAAGGCATTGGAAGTGATGTAGATATGTTTTAAGCAGAGAATAGCTAAAGATTTGTAGTTTTAAAGAAATCACTTTCTGCGTGAAGATGTTTTGGAGATGGTAAATATGGATGTAAGGAGACTAGATACGGGCTGGCTGTAGTATAGGTAAGAGACTATGGGAGCTGGCCTCGGTCGTGGCAGAGGGGTTTGAGTAAAGCAGTGGGATTTGAGAGGTGAAATCAACATAGCTTGGTAACTGGATGTGTGAGTAGAGGGAAGAGCCAAGCGTGGTTTCCAAGTTTCTGCCTTGAACAGTTGGGTAGATGGCAAAACCATTTATTGGGCTTGGAAACACTGGGAAAGAAGAAGGTTTTGGAAGGGTGGGATACAGAGCTCAATTGTGGACCATTGGGTTTTTGTGGGTTTTTTTTTCAACCATTGGTTTTTAACTTGCCTGTGAAACATGAAGGGGTGATGTCTGGTAAGTATTTAAGATACAGGTTTGGACCATAGAGAAGTTTAGTCTACAGAGAAGTTTTACATCCCTCTGAGGACTGTGTACAGCAGGTCTTCAGTGTTGTTTTGTTATAACATTGATGAGAAAAAACATTGATTCCTGGCCCAGGCCACCGTCTGTGGAGTTTGCATGTCTTCCCATGTCTCTGTGGGTTTTCTTCACCAATTTCCCCCACATCCCAAAGATGTGCACTTTAGGTGAACTGTTGTGTCTCCATTGTCCCAGTCAGAGTGGGTGTGGGTGTGGGTGTGGGTGTGGGTGTGGGTGAGCTCTGTGATGGAGAGGCATCCTGTTCCAGGGTTGGTTCCTGCATGGCGCCCTAAGCTGCCAGGGCAGCCTCCAGCACCCGTGACCCTAAACTGGAAGAAGCGTGATGAAAATTCCCTCC